ATAAAAACTTACTCAGAAATTTTGAGCTCTTCACTTTCAATAGCTTTAGTATAATAATTTTCCAAACTTTCAAGCTCTTTTCTCTTCAGAAGACCACTAATAGGGTACACATCAGCTGGAGCTTTTGCCTCTCGATTGCAAAGGGGGAGTAATTTAGTGAAGCTATCATCCTCAGTTGTCGCTAACATATCTTCTTTCACAACAATATCTACAGAGAAAATAAGCTGGTTAAGCGCAATGAGCATAATTCGAATGGTTACATAATCAGAAACTCTGTTGATTACGTACCATTAACTGTGGAAGAAAGTTTGTCCTTAACAGAATCTACATTAACTTCCATTCTTGCCTTTTGATCAGCAATTCTTTTGGCCTTTTTAGAACCAAAGGCATGGCTCAGATTATAATGTGCTTGCTTCTTGTCTTCCATACCCAATTGATCAATATCGTTGCTACCGATACTTGGGGAAAGCATAACATGGCTGGTTTCAATTAAACGCATCTAAAACAGATTGATTATAACATTTAGGGAATTGTACCTCAATAGATAATTTTTATGACCACAGAGAAAATGTACCTTGTTTGTTTTCTTGTTTCGTACTGCTAAAAATGTTCTACAAAGGTCACCATCCTCTTTGAGAACATCACCTTGATATAACACATCTCCATCAGCAGCAACAGCAGCGATGGTGCATACATTAGAGTTGTTGTCGGACGTATAAACTCCGCATTTCAAATCTAGTGCATCTTCCTTCTTCAATCTGGCATGTTCAAAGTTAACTGAAATGGAATTAAAAAAATTAAATTGCATAGACATGTTTGGAAAATATTTACAAGAATGTATAACCTAGTCGAACATGAGGAGAAAGCAAAACAAAAAAGATAATGTAAAACTGTTGAAAACAAAAGATTGATTCTCTTCAAAGAAATTATTTTTCCTAAAAGTATTCGAATGAGCTAAGCAGTATTTGAGCTCAGTTTAAGTGTATCTTTCTATTGGTTGGCAGTTCTGAAACGTCTAATTCACAAGGAAAACACAACCTCGTCAATCGTCGAAAGAGAAATACAGTATTTGTTTAGTAACGAACCTAAAACGGGACCAAGTTGTGAGCTTCTTAATTTAACGTCCCGGACAACACATACGTCCTTTGAAGTAGACATTGCGCAGCAGAACAAAAAGGTTTATTGTTTGTTGTGGATTGGAGGTTACAGCAGCCACAGTCATGCACATGCGGGTTCTCCTCTCCACCAAAGTTGAGGGGTGGGGGCTCCGACTGGTAACTAGCGCGATCTACCGAGGAGTTGGGAAAGCCGGTATCGAACAGTCCATCGCTCCTTTCAGCAGTGCTGCTGCCAAAGATCCTGGAGCAAGTCGACGCAAGATGGTGAGTCTTCAATTAAATGTAACTCGGTTGATTTAGTCAAAATGTTATCAAACATAGCTTAGATTATCTATTTGCGCGTTGCCTACTATTGGTTAGCCTCTGTCAGAAAAGCGCTTTGCTCAAACGCAACCGCGTCGTCGGGAAACACCCATCATTCCGTCATCAACAGGTGTAGTGCTGCGCTTTGGTTTTCCCGGTAATATTCGTGTGGGCTCATCGAGACAAGTAGTTCAACAATGAGGCGATTGCCTTATTAACCTGCTGAAGCTTGCGTACTACATACGTGTGCTTCGGGTCAGTCTTTTGGAAGCGTCCCTAGCGACACGCTAGCGCACCTTAGCGCCGCCGCTGCACTTTCTCCAGTTCCAGCGTATGCCGTCAGCAGTCAACCCAGCTCCAGAAGTTGACCTTCACTGTCCGGCTAGACTTCTCGTTCTTGCATGGTCATTCTGTCATGCTTCGGTGCCGCGCAGAACTTTGACGCCTCTGGCT